GCTTGATTGATAGATTGAATGGGAGGTGTAGAGTCGCCATCCAAAAGAAGGCGACTCAACTTTCTCTAATCTCCTTCACACCGGCCCAACATGTAGATTAAACTCATCAATCAAACCAGGAACACGAGGTTATGCAATCTCAGTCATGCTTTCCTTGGGTCGTTAAAGCTAAATGGCCCTATATAGTGAGGTTATGACAGGTGGTTTCGTAATCTGGCTTACACTCTTGCAATCATAATTCTTATTATCTTAACCAGAGTTGTTTACGGATTAACGGAATTTCGGTTAGGCTTATCTTTTGATCAAGAAGCCTTGATGACTTAAGTCTGACATAAGACTTGTAATTACTCTGATTTATAACCAGTATTGCGTAGACAATAACGCACACTAAATTAAAAGCACTATGATTGATATGAAAGAGAAATAACCGAATTATCATAAATCCATCAATCTAGATCTTTTCGTTTTTTTAAGTGGCTTGACCTCACTTTTATAACTTGTCAGGAGGACTTGGTTGAACGCACCTTGTCCGAAGGCCTCTCCCATATTAGTTATCATAATGGCCAGCATCAGACTGTGGATTTGATCAACCCACTTGAATAATTCGAAAAGAGACTGCGACCATACAGAGAGTCACACCATCCTGCTCTTCATAGTTTCGTTTATCAGTTATGTATATATTTTTTTATTTATTTAAAAAAGGAAAACATAAAGATAGATATATATGCCACGTGAACTGTATCAGCATGAACATCGTATTAAAGCCAAATGAATGCAGAACAACTGGAATCGGTCGTCATCTCTTGGTGAGGTCAACCAACGATTCTCTTCATCCTACACCTTAATACAAAATGAAGGTCTCTACAACAATATTACCTCAAGGGAATCATCGAAAGCCAGCTGCTCAATACATCTACAAGGTAAGTAGTTTTCAGGTGAAGTAGAAGCCTTAAGTCAAGGCATGTATGTAACGATGAACAAATGAATAGCCTTATTGCGGAAAGCCCACAAATGACGTCTGAGCTGGCTGTGTGTGCTGTATATGCCTGTAGACAAAAGTGGGTCCAGGCCTTAACCACCACCATCACCAGACTGGTGCGCTAGGGGACAGGTGAGCCGACAACGCCCTGAATTGGGAGTTGACTGTAGCCGGAGACCGGTCTGGCCGAGGCCAGCGGGAACAGCTAACAAGGGCCGATAGGCCTGGTCGAAAGGGACCTGGCCATTGTGGTAGCCCGACGACCGGGTTTTCGAGACAGAAAACATTGTTCGGAGGGTTGAGACGCGGTTTGATCGCACAGAGAATATGCAATATGGAATATAGTATATGGGATAATTGTGGAAACGATAACAACGGAAGAAGCAAGAGGTGAGGAGTTGGCCAACCGGTCGTCTAGATGGCGCATTGACTGAGTCAGCAAAGCTCTCCAGACGCATGAGTCAGCAACGTCAAAACAGGAAATTTGTCCGCACACAAGAGTGTGCACAAGACAGGAGGTAGGCCGATGGTGAGGCAAATGTGAGGTTAGACACAGCTATCAAATTATGGATTGCTGCCAGTGTTTCTGTCACCAGGGCAACCGGGAAAGAAGGCAAATTGAAAAATGGCTCCTCGATAGGACTCACGGCAACGGGTGGGTCCCGATAGCAACTCTTCTGAAATGCCGGCCTGGTCGCGGATAGGTCTGTCCGGATGTAGCAGAGCTGTGCCGACTTATAAAAGCCAGTCTTAAACTGGTGATAGGCCCTGTTCATGCATATCTAAAACGGCCTAAGATAACTCGAGTTCCAATCATTTGATATTCACTCTGGATTGAGTAAAAAGTGAATGCCGAATAAGGTGTTGAAGGTATCGGCAGATCCTGATTAGGAATCAGTGACCTTGGGTTGCTTAGAGATGCAAGGAAAGATAATTGAATTTCTCACAATAAATTAGACAGAATGCATCTCAATTTCAATAAATTTCATTTAGTCTTCCCTACAAAAGGCTCTCAGACTCCCGGCTAGGCTGCTTATTTAATACAAAGTAATGTTATCAATTAAAATGGTAAATACGGGATTGACCTGTCGAAAACAACTCCGCCAGAAAATTAAATTGAGAAAGCGCCAGCTTGCCGTAAATCCACCTCTCTCCTGTGACCTACTGACGCCATTTTACGGGGGCAACTCGTTTTAGAATCCCACTGGAGTGGCATTGAGTCTCAGGCGAGGTCGAATCTGAATTCTGGTCCAGCCAGTATAAGAAAGTCTTTTAAGACGAAAGGATAAATGAAATGCAATGAAATTATGAGACCTATTCATTTCACTGTGGAAACGTCGGCTAGCAGTCTCTACGTCATTTAATGTAAGTTAAGGTGACGGAGTGGCCTTAATTAATAGGAGAGCAGGAGCCCAGACGAGATATGAAGTATGTGTAGCCATGACCGCAGTACTAATACTGAGGTAGCTCCAGCTTGTTTGAAGCGGTCAAATTTTCCTATGCTTGTAATAGTTGAATGCTTCTAAAGAATCTGGCATAAGTTTAAGTGTACCCAGGAGACAAGTTTCTTTGAAAGGTACGAATAAAAGAATAAAAAAAAAGATTTGGCTTTCAATAAAATTCATCATAACGCGCATTCCAAAAGGACATACCGTTCGTAAAAAAAATATGGCAAGGCTCTACGCTTTATTTTAAGAAACTCACGGAAGCTCATGGAAAGACAGCCGCAAATACTGTATTAGGAGTCATGACTATACGATTGAAAATTACGCCTAAGTCACATAATGCTTCATCCGGCGATCACATAACTTTGCAAAAGCTAACCTGATTCTTCATATATTATGCAGTTCAATGGGGATGGGAAATGTCAGAGTGACGGTCTAATAAATTACGGTGACAGTAGGAACTTTCAATGTAGGGCCAGGTTACACTAAAACTTCGGTAAATGAAGGGATACTAGCTCTCAACACGGAGATTGTAATAAATCAAATTTAGATATGAAATTGATCTTGAGATTCTTTTTCGTAAGTGAGTAGGTTTTAGAGACTACCAGTAAATCATATATATAGGTTGTGTTCACTCTATTTCAGTTAAAGTGGTGAAAAACTGGTAGTTGAATTTTCCTACAATGATATGAGTAGAGCTGATGTTTTCCATTTATTTTCACATGGCCTTGCTTTTCCAAAAGTTGCTCTCACCCAGGGTGGACTGCAGTTTCGACGTCATATAGGTCTTATCAACACCCCCAGCGGGGGTCGAGCCGTGACAATGCAGCATGTGAGTTTGACACGTTAACCACTCGGCCACCTTGCCACGAGTGCCCTTGGGTCACGGAGCAGATGTGCATTTCAAGGAAGGCCAGACCTTTTCCCATATCACATTCTTTGGTGAGATTGTCGATGAAGCAAACATATTTTTGCTATAGCAATAGACTAAATTACTTATTTTCGTATATAAAAAGAGTTTTGAGACTACCACTGCTGCACTGTCGGGGTTCGACTCCCGCTGGGAGTGTTGATAAGACCTATGCGGGGTCGAAACTGCAATCCACCCTGAATGAGAACAACTTTTGGAAAAGCAAGGCTCTGTGAAATTCAATGGAAACGTCAGGCCTACTCATATCATTGTGGGTAAATTCTATTACTAGTCCTTCATCACCTTAAACGAAATAGGGTGAATACATCTCATATTACTTATTTATTGGTAGTCTCGAGACTCTACTCAAACACAAAAAATAAGTAACGTAGTCGATTGTTATAGCAAATATACGTTTGCTTCATCGACAATCCCACCAAAGAATATGATATGGCAAAAGGCCTGGCTTTCCTTAAAATTCACATCTGCCCTATGACCCAAGGGCATTCTTGGCAATCTGGTCGAGTGGTTAACGTGTCAAGCTACCTAAGTTACACAACACTCAACAGCAAGCATTGAGCAACAAAGAAACTCGTGAAATTCACTACTTTAAGCTCAAGAAGGTAAATAATAGATTATAAAAAATTAAAAGAATTCATATGAACTTTACAAAAGGATATAAAAAATAGTACTGGATATATAAAAACTGGTGGTAAGTTTTAACGTAAAGTGCATGTACAGAAACATCATAGACACTCCCGGCTCAGCCAAAAAGCTTAGAACAAGAAGATATCCTGGAAGTAGAGCAGATTCAGGAGTATTTAACAATGCCAATATACTTCAAAATAAGGACCACTTACTTCCCATACAACGGCAACGTCTATGAACAAATATTTGAAATTCTTTGTTTATAAATGCGTTTTCGAGACTCCCACTAGATCATATATATAAGGATTGGTGGTTACATTTTCGCATAATTATATAAATAGGCCCTAAATTTCCAATGAAGCTCACATAACCTTGCTCCCCTAAAAGTATTCTCATACAGAGTCGACAGCAGTTTCGACCTCATTTCATAAACACCTCCGGCGAGACTTGAAACATGATAATGCAGCGTATACTCGACTGACATTTGAATTTTATACAAGGAAATA